AGTTAAAGCAAATGGGTATTAAAGTCATGCCTCAACGTTACAATTTTATAACGCTAACACACAGAAGATTCACTAAAGATAATTTAAGTATAAAATCGGATACATCACACGAGCGTTTACAAGTGCGGATCTGCAGCAATTAAAAAACTTAGCTTTTTATCCCTCCTAAAAATATTTGCCCCCCCCCCTCCCCACACCAGTGGCCCATTGATAAGTCTTCGGTCTTAGACCGCAAAACAAAAACAAACAAACAAAAAAGGGTTGTGATACTCTTGATGAGCACAGCACAGATAACCTATTGTGTAGCTTTGTGCTCAAGAACAAACAAATAAGCTAAAATAATTCCTGGTTGATATTATGAAACTTATACATATATATATCGCGCTTGTTAGGAAAGATAAACTTGAGGTATCATAGATGTAGAATAAAATATAAATCAAGAGCACAAACTGTATTTAAACACAATAAGTAAAGTGATTGGATTAATTCAGTAATGTTTGTTTTGTTTCAGAATATCGCTCAAAGTTATAACAGGGCTATCTTCTCACAGCCGCCCCTGATTTTAAACTCATAGACTAGAGGGAAGGTTTGTTTGTTTTTGAATTTCGCGCAAAGCTACACGAGGGCTATCTGCGCTAGCCGTCCCTAATTTAGCAGTGTAAGACTAGACGGAAGGCAGTTAGTCATCAACACCCACCGCCAACTCTTGGGCTACTCTTTTACCAACGAATAGTGGGATTGACCGTCACATTACGCAATCTGAGGGTTGCGGGTTTGAATTCCCGTCACACCAAACATGCTCGCCCTTTCAGCCGTGGGGGCGTTAGGGCGAGCATGTTTGGTGGGATGCGGATTCGAACCCTTATGTTTATGTATATCAAATGAAGATGTATGTAGACAAAATTTAAGAATTTATCTATTTTCATCATCTAATTAACGCAGAAGATAGTTAGAAGTATAACAAATTTGTTGTCCTGTATTTATTTTTAATATGAACGTTATTTAGATTAAGTTTTTATTCAAAGATATGCGTAACTTATAGTGTTGGATATGTATTATATATGTACTACATAATTTTATGATAAAGTGATTTGTACAGGATGTATTCTATACTGTAATTATTATTGAAGTTGTATAATCCTTTATATAATGCATTATGTGTAATGTAATCTGGCCAATGTATATATATATATATATATGTGTGTGTGCGTGTGTGTGTGTGTGTGTGTGTTTGTAAATGCCTTAGTTCAAATTGTTTAAAGTCAATTTTTAATTCTGTAAGGAGGGAGTTGTAACGAATTTATCATTATGTACTTATTTCTAATATGAACGTTGTTTGGATTGAATTTGCATTTAGAAATATGCGTGACTTGTAGTATCAGATATGTGTTGCGTATAACGAATTTGTTACATATTTATTTTAATGACAACGTTTGTTTGGAATGAGTTTATATTTAAAAATGTACCTAGCTTACAGTGTTAGTTACGTATGACGAAACTCCCGCCAGTTCTCCAAGATTGCAGAATATTCGTGAACACAAGAATCGACAATATATCCACTTCCGTAACTGGTTAAATATAACTAGTATTGTTGTCCGAACTTTCGAGAAAGACATTTCTTGCCCATAAAAAAAAGACCAAGGCCAAAGGAGAGAGCATAGAAGTCTGTTAGGAACCTGTTATAACCATGTACGCTATAAACTGTTATTTTGCTAACCCTTATCAACCGGAAAATATACGACATTTGACCAGGAACAGTTATAAATTTCGAACGTCAGTGGATTCTCATCAGACGTTAGTATCTTTTCGAAAGTATTACTGAATTCTCATCGGACATTAGTGGTTTTATGAAAATATTATCCTACTTCAACGATCAAATAATTGTATGTTTGACAAAGCTAGCTAGCTTCTGTGCAATTGTACGTACATCGACTTCAAGTTAACTCGCTGGATATCAAGGAAACTCTGAACTAGAAAGAAGATTCTATGTTTCTTGTAAGTTAGTGAAATTGTTGTTTATAAAACTTTGCTTGTGGTAATTAATCGCAACAATAGTTGTTGTAAATTGTACTGTTGTATATATATATTTTAAAACGTATTTGTTTGAAAAACGAAAACGGTGTGTGTCAATCTTGTTGGCATGTAGCCTAAATTAACTAAAATATCGGCTTCGGACTATTTCAAATTCACAATACGTAACGGAAGCAAAACATAAGAATCGACTATTATATACAAATTTATCGATAATATTGATAGCCATTAAGAACACTGAAGAAAACCTAGCTAAGTATCTCTCCTACACTGTTCAAATATGTTTGTGATAATTGCTCTGAAAAAAACTTAAAATTACATAATATGTTCTTACATAAACTTTTTCCTACAATCTATAATTTGCTTTAGAAATGCAACGTATTATTTTAAACAGTAAAATCGAAAGCTTAGAACAATTGAGAAACAGATATTTAAGAACACTGTTTTTGACTATCGTTGAATTTTCTGTTTTTTTTTCTTGCTTCGACACATGAGGACTGATGTATACTGATACGGCATCAAATATTTAGGCGATATGCGAACGAAGAAACTAACAAAAGTGCATCATATACCATCACAACCAATTTCAGATAAATGAATCTACAATTCTTACGAAATACTCAACATGATGAGATTACAAATATACATCGAAAAGAAAATCTTTCAAACCGATTTTATATTTATAGATTATAGAGGATTTAGTTACCTCAAGCACGTGACTCATAATGTTTCGAAGCATGATATCTTTTGTACTGATTTATGGAGACATTTGATTGTACTAAGTATTAGCTTTATTTTGCTAACTTCGGCTGTGTTTATATTGATGGAATTTCTATCATATGTTAAACTCCTCAAAAAATCTAAACATTGGAATAATATGCTAAATAGTCTTTTATATATATATAGGTAATTTTCTCACAAAAAAAATTTCAGAAAGGAAACTTATATTTCTATTGAGTATTTTATTGGATTTTAGATCGAACCTTAATAAAATGTCGTAATGATTAGGGTGAATAGAAACAAAAATTATACCAACATAGAATAAAAAAGAAACATTATATACAAGACTGACTAGAGTAACAGACGGTACCTGAACTTAAATGTTATAATTTTCATTACATACATATATTAATGACTTTATCTATTGTTTTACCAATATACCTTTACTAGGAACATTATTAAATGAGAATTAGAACAATATTAATGACTTTATCTATTGTTTTACCAATATTCCTTTACTAGGAACATTATTAAATGAGAATTAGAACAATATTAATTACTTTTTATATTGTTTTACCAATATTCCTTTATTAAGAACATTATTAAATGAGAATTAGAACAATACATAAATAATCGTTATTGTTTATTCATGACATTTTAAGCAAAATTCATATTGTGGCCTGAAATGTCTTCTATTTGTATAATTCAATGTAATATTTTTTATCATAAGTAATAAGACACTCTTTCAATTTTGCTTATTTAGGAATTGTTCCTTAGAATATAAAAATTCGCTCAATTTCCAGTTGTATCCAAATTAATAGAAAGTAAAAGCTTCTAATTATTTTTCTACGTACAGCGGTCCATATGAAAGGCAGCAAATCGCCAGTTGAGCTATTATTGTCTGAACGAAGACTGACTTTGCCTATGTTACTCTTATAAAGTATTCATGGCTCCAAAGTGCAGAGCGCGTGTTTGCAGCTAACAATCTCGATTTATAAGCCCTAAGATTCATATTCTAGGCAAAGTACATACAGTGATGTTTATATAAGTACATATACTGTGAGATACACCGTGGCTTTTATAAATACTTATACTGTGAGATACACCGTGGCTTTTATAAATACTTATACTGTGAGATACACCGTGGCTTTTATAAATACATATACTGTGAGATACACCGTTATGGTACACACAAACAAGCACAAATGTATACCAGCTGACGAATTTGTTCAAGCCCACCGCGGAGTGGGGGCAGGTCGAACGATGGTTCCTGTATCACTTCTCGGATTTGGTGACAATCGATTTAGCGATTGATCAGTTGTAAGCGGAGAAACACATAATTGTGAAATATTCATTTAGATTTCAAACAAGCTTTACATTCGTGATAAGTGACAATAACCTATGGGGAACATATATTCAAACACATTGTCAATTATACAAAGAAAGTTCTGGTTTATTTTTTTCTTTATAAGCTATTGCCCTTGGTATCCAGTGGTGGGCTTGTGGGATTATGACGCAAAAAAATTAGATTTCTATACCCACGGTGGGCACAGTTGGGATAGTCAATTATAGTGATTTACGCTTTACACAAACAAACTTCTATTATACGCCAGTAGTAAATTGTTCTTAGGTATGAGTAGAATTTCGAAATATATATAGCACCATCATGTTTCATCAAATGTACTGTGATTAAAACTATCTGCACGGACACAGAACTGGCCACTGTCTTAAATTATATTAACCATCTCCAAACAAACAAATAACAATATATAAAAAATATGTCAGTTGTTAGAGAGAAAGAGGAAGATGAAAACGCCAAGGGAAGTTTTTCACGCTATGTATCAATCTCCAACATAACGTTGCAATTTTCATCTTTTATTCTTTATTATTAATGGCAAAAAAACAAAGTCTAATAAACATTATATTCAGAGAACTAATACTGAAAAGACTGTACAGAGCTTTGGTGTTTATAGCATTTCAAATATGCTGGTTAACCGATACTAATATACAAGCTAAGGGTTGACAGTTCGGTATTCTTTTCTGACTCCGCCCTTAATAAATTAATAACGAAACGTATTTCCACTCACAATTCATATCCACTGTAACGGTCGATGTCCGGGGTAAAGACTGATTGTTGTTCAGTGCTTGGCAGGAGAAAGTTGCCATTAAGTGCTGACGTTCCAACTTCGGAATCACGATGGTGTTTTGTACTATATCTTTTGTAATGACCTCAAACGTATTATCCAGGAGCACCGACTCTCTCCACCAAGACACAGAAGGCAAGGGTTTACCTGGTAAAAGTACTGCTTCAGCGTCAACTACAAAATTAACAGCAATTGTGATCTACGTCACAAGAAAGTATGCTGTAACAACCACAGTCACAAATGGTCCTTGAACATTTGGAAATATACTAAGTGGTTTCATTAAACACGAAGTTATTAATTTAAATGTTAAGTAAATATATATATAAAGCTTAAATGAGTCATAATTGAAACTTTCGTTACTTGGTAAAACTCCATAATTACAGAATTGAGGAAAAATAGAAGAATTGTACGTTTCACAAATACATCATTTATTCACGATGATGCCTTTACTGGCAAGACCAGTTTTTGTTTTTCCTCAATTTTATTAATTAGTGGTTAAATTTTACCATGAAAACTTTTTATTTTTATTCAATAACTGTAGTAAATGAAATTAAATTAAACCCAAAGGACTCGGTGCATTTATTAAATCGTGCAGTGATTTGATTGTAGACCAGTTCTGAGAAATAATCTGCTTAATACATTAGACATTAACTACATCATTGAAGACGTTTTAATAAGACGATTACTGTTCTTGTTTGTTGTCTTAGTTCTTTAGGTAGATCCCAAATATTTATGTGCTAAAAAATAACCCAGATTTTGCAAGTGGAATTGCTTAACTCAGACGATATTTAAAAATAGTTTTAATTAACTATTTTGCAGAGTACACAGGCCTGCAAATTTAAACTTCATAAACGTTGTTTTGGTTTTAATAACGGATTTTCCATAATTTAGCTACGAAGATTTCGAAAATAATGTTCATTTTTTTCTATCAC